CTATCTGATCTCTACATCATCCACAAAATCCGTTTGATCTAAATACGACGTGATCGCCGCTGCATCAATCTGCTGTTGCTGTTCAGCAACAGTCCAGCCATTCCCAAACCAACCAAAAATGTTACCGTCATACGGTTGTAGCGCAAAGTCCTCCCACCTAACTTTCTCCAATGTTTTGATATAATGCAAGCTGCTTCCCGGCCACAAGGCGGTTACCCGACCGCGATTTCGCTCTTCATCAGAGGCTCCCAGCGGCGAGGTCTTGTACCAGCTTGCGCAGTCTTCACTGTAGACCGTTCGTTGGAAATAGTCCTCACATAGTTTCGTAAATGCGTCAACTTGTGTCTTCTTCGGTTCCACCAAGCCAATATTATCATAGGCCATCCGGGAAAGGACCTGTCCCACGTAGGTATGAACCTGTTCAAGCATGATCAGGAGATTGCCAGCACCCTGAAACGAATTAGGCCCCAACGACTGAAAGAAATTTGGGAACCCGTCAGTAGCTAGACCAAGGTAGCTACGCGCACGTTGACTATACTTCTCGCGGAGGTTGACCCCATCACGTCCAATTATGGGGAACCCGGACCCGATGTGGAAGCCAGTGGCACAGACGATAACATCAACGGTGCGATGGGTGCCACAGGCAGTTATAACACTAGTTTCGTCGATTGCAGTGATAGGCGCTGTAATGACGTTTACCTTGGGCGAAGTGAGAGCTTCCAGGTAACCCGGGCCAGGTGTAAGGCGCTTGCAGAGAGGTGGGAAATCAGGCAGTAGCTCTGTGAAAAGGTCAGGCCGCTCCTTCAATCGGCGCTTCATGTCAGCTTGATAATTGATTTTGGCTAGTTTTTGAAGATCGCTCCCCTTCTGTGATTTGGCGTAGAGTGTCTGCATCTCCAGTTCAAGCTCCTTGCGGTACTGAATGTATGATACCGGGTCAGCCTGCCAGGCCCTCTTTTCCTCATCAGTATAGGTGAAGTTCCCTCCTTTTCCATCGGTGCGTGATGCCAAGCGATCACCGCCGTGCTGGTTCGAAATCCAAGTTTTGCCGCGGACGTAGTGGTCCATCTGCTCGACCTTGTCCACAAGGGCAGGTACGATTTGTATGCCACTGCTACCAGCACCAATGACGGCAACCCGCTTACCCTATACTGCAAGTCAATATAGAACGCAGCAAGATGGCTGGCAGATTTCCATACCCCAGTGTCATACCTCCTATCCCAAGAGGCGCTATGCAACACCTTGCCCTTGAACTTATGCAATCCCGGAATGGCAGGCCACCTCCATTCATTCAGCATCCCAGTACCAGTCATGAGTACGTCCGCAGAATCCTCAAATGTCCGTCCATTCGGATCCGTCTCGTCCAAGATCTGCACGAACCACTTTCCTACCGCGTCATTCCAGCGAGCGCCCACACATCGGTTTTCGAATTTGATATCCTTTCGCACGTCATACTTATGCGCCACTCGCTTCCAGTATTCCAATATCTCATCCGCACCAGAGAAGAAATGACTCCATCCCGTCCATGATTCGAAGCTCAACTGGTAGCTGTGGGATGGCACATCTAGTAGAACAAGTCAATATTACTGTTCACATGACTGGAGGGTGGAGGAAGGAGCAGCGTCGTCCTACCACAAGCGCAACCAGGATAGTTGTTCTCGTACCAGGTTCCTCCGAGCTCAGGGTTCTTCTCGTAGATCGTCAAATCTAGATTAGGCACAGCTTGGTGGAATTTGATGGCAGCTAAAATTCCTGAGATACCGGCGCCGATGTAGATGACTTTGAGAGGACGTGGCTTATCGACCGCTCGCTCTGAAATATGAGGACTGAAGTATCGATGCTGCTCTTGACTGGTGCCACTGACATTATTGGGTAGTGAGGGGATGGCACTCGTCGCCTTGACGTCTTCATTGTCAGCCATCGAAGGAGCCATAGTCTGATAACTGACAGGTATAGTGCTTTCCTTCTAACGGTGGTGGAAGGGAAACAAGACAAGTTCCCGTATTCTTACTAATTGTGATAGATAACATTTTCATTGGTGGTGGTGGTATTTATGTATGAATATAGTTGACTTACTCAACAGAAGACCAGCTTCGAGTGAGCTGAAGCGCCGCAACTCGGGTAGGGGTCCGGCTCAGACTTCCAAGAATCTGGTGGGTATTAGTTTCGGACTAGATCCGACTAAATCGGAAAGAGACAAGAGTCGGGAACGGAACAAAATATAGGTATCATAAAGACTTCCGACTTTTGTGTTCAGAATCGGAAGTGCTGCCGTATGCCTATAATTACTTCCAACTGAGCAAGATACAACCTAGCCGTTCGTTCACCAAGTCACGTCCAATCTCCTCTTGCAAAGATGTCGTTGGGACGGGTCGAGCCGGAGCAATACTTTCTGCCTCCCACTCCTTATGTCCCAAATAGCAAGCTTCCCATCCTCGTTTACCGCAATGCTTTATCTGATACAAGCCCGCGAAAAATCCTTAATATTATCGAACCTAATGGCTGGATTAAAGGAGGCCAGTGGAAGACCTACAAGGTCCCACACTTTCACACGCAGTGCCACGAGTGCTACGGTATCATTAAAGGAGGGTCCAGCTATCTACTTGGTGTTGGGCCTAAGGACCCTGAGGTCGATGAGCAAGGCCATCCTTACGGAATGAAATTGACGGTTCAGAAAGGGGATGTCTTTGTGCTGCCGGTGGGTATTTTATCCAAAGTAAACGCGATGTTTTTGACAGAGGTTCTTACAAACTGCCTTAGGCGGGAATATGCCATGCATCGCTAGATTCATGGGACGACTACGAGTTCATCGGTCTATATCCTAATGTGAGTGCCACCACCAGACAAGTCTTCCCGGAATAAGTTAACAATTATATACTCAGGGCATCTTGGAGGCGACCGGTCATCGCTTCGATATGAACTACGGGCTGAAGTCACCGGAAGAGACTACCTCACTTATGCGCCAGAGCGAGAATGTCTCAATTCCGCCACTAGATCCTTTGTATGGCTTGGATGGTCCGTTGCCGCGGATTTGGAGCAGGGCAGCTAAGGAGAACTTCATCGGTGCTCGTATTTGAACCAATGCATTACTTACATAACTTGGCCGTGTGCTTCAGTTCGGAATCTGCTAAAGATTCGACCCCTATCTGAGTTGCAGCACATTTGCGAACCTATCAATGATGTTCCCCAGGTAGTCCTACCATCCGCCCTGGTACAACCTTAAGCTTCGTCAAACCTATTAAGTGGAATATCCCGAAGCCCGCCCCTTCCGAGAGCCCCAAATCAGCTACTAGTAGCTAGGGATGAACGACAACGTAGACTCCCTTCATGTTCGGACCCCTATCCGAGTGCGCCGTTCGGGTAAGAGCCCGAAGGCGGATGGCGGCAAGGATCAGTCCTTGGACCCCGCATCTCGGCATGCAGGCAAAGAAGGGGTCTAAAAAACACCCTTGTTATCTCGTTATCTGCTGGTTTTTAGGTTTTCTATCAAGTAACGGGGCCATATTATCTGTGAACATACTATTATACTGTACCGTAAAACGACGCTGGCGATAAGATAGAAGAAATTTGCGTTGGAGGCTAATTATGTGTTGCAAGAATAGAAGGCACATAAGAAGGCGGCCGCATAAATTTGTCTATATGTTACCAGAATGTCGGTCAGTCCATTGGTCCGTAGCCTAGTACCGCAACTATTAAAGCCTCAGACTTCTCGGCCGCGACACAGGCAATATGTACCGCTACTTCGAAATCTGTAATCCTGAAGCACTTTCGAGTGTATGCCACTCCTCTAGACCTGTGTATGAAAGAAATGGTAGCTACTTACGGGTAAATGCATCTTAAAGTATACTACACAAACTGTAAGGAATATGAAGGGTAGTAGTACCAATGATGTTCATATTGTAACGGTACTTTATGCGAGTTCAGCCAGGCTTCCGATGTACGCTCAATTATTTCTCATAGTCCGATGCCCGTTTTATAGCCCCGTTAACCGCCTCACCAAGTATCCCGGATAGCTGCCCGTGCACAAAGCCAGAAATAGCCTGCTCAGTTATGCTACCGGGTGTAGACAACGAACGTTGGAGATTCTCAGGCTCGATTTCCGACAGAAGCATTCCTACCGTGCCACGTATACACTGTGACACAATCGGAATCACCTTGTCACGTGGAACACCTTTGCTTGCAGCTATCCTAGCAATTTGCTGCACTGCGACGACCGCAAGCGCATTGGAGGCTGCACTTATGCCGGTCAGGGAATCGAAATGCACATCAGAAACACGGAAAACCTTTCCCAGAGAGCCGAAAATCCAAGCGGCCAGTTCGACCGTTGCATCTGTTGCCCGGCCGGGAGCGTCGGTCAGAAGGGTTGCAGATTCAAGAGTTGCGGCTCCGATAGTGGGCATCGCGCGAACGACATCCTCTTTAGTTTTACCTTCACCGGTAGCTAAGATGTGTCGAAGTTCGTCCCGTGGGGTTCGTGCAAGTAGACTGATGATGCCTTTGTGCTGCAAGGCTTCTTTCATACCGGTTGCGCCAATGACATCGTGGACCTTGTCGGGTGGGAAGGCAAAGAGAACAGCGTCAGCGTTTTTGACTGCTTGAATGTTTTGATTGAGGAACAGGGTCACAGGCGGCGCGGAGAGCCAAGAGTCTTTCCGAAGCTGATTGTACGATTTTTCATCATTAACAGCAACGTTTATGTTGGACACCAAGCTGGCGGGCCGTGAGACCAAGGGAAGAAGGGATCCTAAAATCGCCTGGCCAATGTGACCTAATATCCGGCTTAGCTCGATGCTTTGCGGAGTTTCGAAAAACCGACTTACCGCATCCTAAGAAAGCGAGGCAAAGAGGCTTACGAGCAACTTCCATAGTGAATCTGATATATAGATCATAGAAGAGTAATATGGAGGTAACCAGTCATCCACGCATTTTAGAGCTCAATTCATGGCTAACCAGCTAAATACTTATCCGGTACATATTCTCGGATGGCTTCCCGAACAGTATCATCGAGAAGACGACATACGCTTGGACTTCTCCGCAGCCGCCAAGATAGCACTAGTGAACGCCGACCGAACACCCAGCTTCTCCAACTCCAACAGAGCCCGGATGGAGCATCCACCAGGGGACGCAATTTTCTCCCTAAGGACTCCCGGATGGTCCCCGGCAGGAACCAACTTCATCATTCCAATGGCACTGTTAACCACGAGGTTCTGCACCTCTGGTCTCCGGACACCCTCGGCAACTGCTGCGTCCAGCAGTCCATCGATGGCGAGCAACAAGAGAGACCCGGCACAGCCGACCAGCACCGCACAGATGTCGAAAGATGATTCAGGAATCCGATGTACCTCCCCTATTTGGTCGAATGTCCACGCAGCAATCTCAAGATTGTCTGGTGTGACGGTGGTGCAAGAAGTGTACAACGTCACAGCTTGCCGGATCCTGGCTGCCATGTTCGGCATCGCCCGAACAACTTGAAATGAGTGTGTCCTTTGTGATGCTGCTTCACCATATGTCAAACGAGATAGCTCTGCAAGTGTGATCCCCGCCATGATGCTCAATACAAGTTTGCCGGCAATGGCTTCTTTGAAGCCCGGCGTAGAAAATACATCGGTTCTTTTGAAAGGCTTCACTGCGAGTATTACAATGTCGGCTTCTTCGACAGCGCGACTATTCTCTTCGCATGTAAGAACAGTCACCTTGGAGGCGTGCTGGGACAGAGCTTCTTCTACTCGGGACTTGGAGGGTGCGGTTCCAACCGTGGCGATAAGACGCTTGACGCTAACGCTGGTTTTCTCGTTAGGAGAAAGGACCGCATCAGCAATTGCGGTGCCGAGTGTTCCTGAAACATTGAGGTCTTATTAGCACTTGCGTAGAAAGAATGAATGGTTCCTAGCTTACCACACCCGATGACCGCGAATGTTAGATTCACGTTGACTGCCATAATCAAGATGAGGTTCTGAAAAGAATATTGATGGACTGTAGCGAACCTGTAGGGCATTGCCACAAGGACATACTAGCTTATTATAAACATGATGTTATTGAAATCGGGCCGAGTAGGGGAGAAAGTGTCCTGATCTCGGTCCGGCGAAGCTGGCCATTGCAGTGCTCCAATCGGAACAATGATATACAAGTTACTTTTGCTCAATAATACCCTCATGTACATGGAGGAACGCGCGAGGGATGACGTCGATAGATTGTTTAGCCCATCTATTCACTAAATACTGTAATTTAGACTGTATCCAATAGCTACCTAATCTGCAACATGGCAAGCCCTGAGGGTTGTGCTCTCGCTCAAAAATGAATCCTTCACACACCGAATGCTTGTGAACCTGAGCAGGACATTCATCGAATTGGCTTTGTCATTGGTACCACTGGACCGGGCTCCTCCGAACGGATGAGCGCCAATAACAGCGCCAGTGCTCTTATCATTAATGCAAAACATACCAACTGAGTCTCGGAGAATCTGGTCCGCAGTCCAGATGGCTTCCCTATCGCGGGCAAATAGCGAACCAGCCAGAGCATATTCAGAGGTCCTGTCGATTAACCTGCAGACATCTTTGAAGCCGGCGGGAGCCATATCGTCATAAGGATGAACCACGAAAAGCGGACCAAAGAGTTCCTTGGTCATTATGTCCGAATCTTTTGTAAGCTTGGTCTCATCTACTTCGAAAATCGCAGGTTGCACGAAAAAGCCCTTGCTTCCGTTCACTTCTCCGCCGTAAAGCAATACATGGCCTTCTTCTTTGGCGCGCTGCACGAATTCCTCAAACCGGCTAAATGATGCCCCAGATATCATTGGACCGAGTGGATGATGCAGCTCTTCTACATCGCTGCCATGCGTCATCTTCGCGGCTTCTCGTAAAAGAGCGTGTTTCAAGTCGCCTTGCTGCCACATAGACTTGGGAACGTAGAGCCGGGACAGGGCACTGCACTTCTGACCCTGGAATTCATAGGCTGACCGTATCGCTGCGGATGCGACCCAATCAGTGTCCTCTGTGCAGGAGTTGTGGATGAGATGGAAATTTTTCCCTCCGCTCTCTCCAACAATTCGAGGGAAATTCTTGTACATTGAAGTATTCATGCCGATCTGTGTGAATAGAGATCTCAGCACGGTCGAAGATCCAGTATAATGCAGCCCGGCGAAATGGGGGCTGGAGAGGGCTGGATTGACCACGGTGGCTGGATCCGCGACGGGTAAGAATTGGATGACCCCCTTGGGCATCCCTGCTTCCTCCATTATTTCGTAGAGAATGTAGTTTGAGAGAACAGCCATAGGCGACGGTTTCCAAATGATGACATTGCCAACCAGAGCCGGAGTGAACGCAATGTGAGCCCCAAGTGCGGTGAAGTTGAAGGGTGAAACAGCCAGAACAAAACCCTCCAGTGCCCGGTAATCGAGCTTACTGGAAGAAGAGTCAAACTGTTTGGGGGGCTGTTGCCGATAAAGCTGAGCACAGAAATGAACGTGGAAATTCAAGGTGTCGATGACTTCGGTGATACAGTCGCCGTCGGCCTGTTCACACGTCTTGCCTTGTCCGATCATGGTCGCCGCCATGAGTTTCCATCTATATTTAGGGGACTCGACAAGTTTGGCTGCCTTTTTATAGATGGCTGCCCGGTGGTGAAATGGCATATTTGCCCACTGATTCCTTGCCGCCAGTGCGCCTGGAACGGCTTTCATCTTGACTGCATCGGCATCGACTTCGTGATATTCCGCCAGTGAAGGGCCATGGTGGTTCCAGGGGTTGGGCTGCTTGCTTTTTTGACCACTATAGATACGCTCCCCATTAATCACGCTGGGGACTTCGGCAGTTCTGCTTTCCATTTCCTCCAGAGCGGCTCTTAAGTGTTTTCTTTCATCTGAGCCGGGTTCATAAGAGAGCTAACAAAGAAGTTAGGAAGATGGTGACTGAGCGTCCTTTGGCGGATGACATACCCCAACGGCATTAGCAGGTTCTGGATACTGAGCTGTAGGCATACTGCTGCGTGAAGAATATTTGGTTGTAGTTTATATGTGTTAAGGTATTCAATGAAACGTTGACTGCTTCATGAGATGTGCTCATAGGCAGCGATGAACTATATTTAAAATAACACTTTTTATCGCTACTACAGCACAGCAGTCTCGGTCCGGATTTCACACCAACTATGTCTTAGTACTCGACTATTCCAGAATATCGGGACAAAAGCCCGGATAACACACACCAAGAGTCCAATCATACTCGGGCCGAGATTTTGACAAGAACGCAATTTCTTGTTCCTGTACGTCTGCGTGTTCTGAGCTCCTGAGACTCAACCCTGTCCGGAAGTAACCCCGCGGCTTGCGAGCCCCCGAGGCTAGTAAAGACTAACAAACAGCGCGATCCCCTTCCCCCCCTTAAGGTAATTCAAAGGTCTAGAGAACAGGAATAGCGAAATAGTTCGATACTACGACAACAAATGATTTCTCACCATTACGCCGAAGATGATTCAAAAGGTAGAAGTCGTCTGCGAAGCTCACGGCCCAGACGCATCCTCTCGGCGACGGCACCCCCGCGTCCCTCTAGGACTGCTTTATTCTCCGTGGCCCGTCGAGCAAGAAACGGAAGACATTCCTTGAGCTCACCGTAGCTCATTGACTTCAGTAGAAGAATATTAGCCAGGAACAGTGAATATCAAAATAAAAAAAAAAGGGGACAACATCATCTACCTTGACAACAAGGGGAAATCCTCCTAAACTGGTAATGGAGCCGGTGATTTTGTTCGTCAGGTCGTCCTTCATGCCTGGTGCAAAACGTTAAATAATTAGGTATGTAGCCATGTTGATGCTATCTACGGGCAAGATAGTTGGCTTACCGTATAGCTGTGCGAAGGCAATGGCTCCTGCCGCTTGTCCTGACAAGACAAGCTTCGTGTCATCATCGGCTCGTCTTGCCAGTCCCTCCTCTTCGAGCACGTTAGTCGCCAAGTCTATGCTATTGGAATTGTGTGTTGCAAAGACGACGCTGATCCTCGAATGACCGTCACGCCGAATTTGCTCAGCGACCGTGGATAGGGTCTTCCTAATCCCGTAGTTGTAGCTGGCGTCTGTTTCTGCCTTTGTTGCCCAAACAGGACCTGGCCCTGCTCTTTGCTCCTTCTCCCACCGGGCGGCTTCGCTTACCATGTAGGCGCCTCTTACCTGCTTAAAGAGAAGTTTGTATCCCTTCTCATCAGCTCGCTTGATTTGCTGATCCAGTAGAACAGGGTATCGGCGGAGATAGGCTTGGAACGATGCGATACACGTAGCCGGCCCATCCAGAGAGTTGTATTTCTGCATTAATTCATCGGTCAGACTGTCTATCACAGGCTGATACCAAGTTTGCTCTGCATCAATTACAATGCGCACGTTGTTCTCCCGTGCCTTGCTAGCAATCGTTTCGAGTGTGCTGCGCAAAGCCATGAGCTGTAGCCGATCCACGTCAATCACACCCCCTAATGCCGCCTCCCAGTCTCCATCTTGTGGTAGCCCTGGGTAAGGGACATTATTATCTAGTCCTCTTTCTCTTTTCCTCTGCAATATAGCATTCGAGCCATGGTAGAGTGCAGTAGGGTCAGGAAGGAGACCAGTCACCTTGATACGGACCCAGCACCGGTTATCACCTCCAGTAGACGAGGCTTGTAGCCAGAACTGACGAGCAAGCTTGCCCTGAGTCTCGATAGATGCAATAATATGCTCTATTTGCTGAGCAATGAGCTGTGGATCCTTTCTTGATCCATTCAGGTCTGCCTCTACATTGTATCCAAGAAGAGTACCGATCTGTTGCTGCCGGAGCGCTTGAATCTTTGGAATACATTCCAAGATCGATTCACCACCGAGAAATTGATTGAAGAATGTCCGCATAATAATGGCATCGATAACAGAGGATAGAATCGGTATGTGTGAAAGGAAGTTGTACATATTCTCGCTGAGGTCTACCCAAGTCGGAGAGGAACAGAAAGCAAAAGCACTGCGTCGACCGTCACCATACCCAATTAGCACATGGAGAAGGATTTTTATCGGTCATGTAGTATTTGCGGATACTCACATCCATCCCGAAATGAGCTTCGACAAGGGAATTTTCGATAGGGAATTGCGGTCGCCTTTCTCCTCAGCTTGACCGTCAGTATCCTGTATCGTGGAAAACAACACAGCGCCAGTGAAAGCGATACCCGCAACACCGTACAACTTCCGTCGATTGTGATGCCAGGAAATATGTTGTGCTCGTTTCACAGAAGCGGTCGTTGCTGAGAAAAGGCGAGCATTGCCTGTCGAATTCAGCCTCAGTAGACGGTACCGTGTTGCCAAAAGGACCTGGCGCTGTGTCTGAATGAAAGACATCATGAGAATGGGTAACGATCAAAATATGCTGGCAAAAATTAAGACTGAAAGTCGGGGATAAGTCAGGATGAGACGCTATATCGATGGATACTCGGGCCGGTGTTTGTGCGGCGTACACCCAGATCTTCGGACCGAGACCTGTCCAGATAAGGACAGAAACATTACAAGAATAGTATACTCACTGAGCCCTCTCATATACTTCGTAAAACAACGAAAGTGTTATCATCAAACCAGACGATCCAGAATTATGGCAATGCACGACACCAGTCCCAATCTAAACAGCACCGGTAGCCAGAAGGACAAGACGCCTGCTGTACCCCCTCAGGATGTATTCAGTTACGAAGCGGCTGAGGTCAGCTTTGTTGGTGTCTCCTGGCAGGGAGCAGCTATCCTGATCACAAAATTCCAAATAGGCCTTGGTGTTCTCAGTCTTCCATCCACTTTTCATGTTTTGGGATTCTTCCCTGGTCTTCTCTGCTTTGTGGTCCTTGCGCTGATGACTGGGATTTCTGGCTATGTGTGTGGGAATGCCAGACTATACTATCCGCAACTGCATAACATCGGCGATGCAGCAGAGCTTCTCTTCGGTCGAGGTGCTCGAGAACTCATTGGTGTTATATACTATGTATACCTGGCTTTGGTCTCTGGAGCTGCTATGCTCACCACCTCTGTTGCGCTCAACACTCTGTCCGACCATGGATTCTGCACCACGGGCTTCGTCGGCTTCATATGCGCGGTAGCCTTCCTGATGGGAACGGGATTCAGGTCATTGGAAAAGGTCTCTTGGCTAGGCTGGGTAGGAGTGACAGGGATCATCCTATCTGTCTGGACGGTTGCCATCGCTTGCCTCGTCCAGGACAGACCAACCGCAGCGCCATCCGCCGGTCCCGTTGACCTCGATATCCGAGCTCTCCCCAATACAACTTTCCCACAAGCCATGTCAGCCATCTCAAATCAACTCTTCGCTGTGGGCGCGTCGGGGACCTTTTTCTCCATATCGGCAGAAATGAAGCAGCCCGAACTGTTCACTCGTTCTCTCATCTGTGGACAATCTTTCATCATTATCACCGACATCATTATTGCCTCTATTGTGTACGGCAAAGTTGGACAGTACCTGGCAAGCCCAGCACTTGGATCAGCAGGACTTCTTATTAAGAAAATATCCTACGGCATTGCATTACCTGGCCTCATCGTTACTGCCGTCCTGTACAGCCACATTGCTGGTAAATATTGCTTTGTCAGAATTCTCCGGGGTACCCCTGATCTGCAGTCAAACACTGTTAAACACTGGACCGTGTGGATTGGATCTATGCTTCTAACCGCCACTCTGGGGTTCATCATGGTAGGAGTTGTGCCCTTTTTTGACGACTTCCTGAGCCTGGTCGGAGCGCTTCTGAATCCTGTTCTGACGAATATTATTCCCGGCCTTATGATCTTGTTTTATGTAGCTGAAAGACCTACTAAATACAACTCAGGCATACCGCGCGATACTGTAGCAGCGGCTATGGATGCGAGACATTGGCTACTCCGCGCATTGGATGGTTTTCGACGTGGTTGGAAGACTAGCGTGGTGATCGCTATGGCTGCCTTCATCATTCTTACCGGAGCTATTATAATTGTTGCAGGTACTTATGCGACAGTGGTTAATATTCAGGTATCCTATGCTGCCGGCGACGTCTCCACCGTTTTTACGTGTGCGGATGATAGCTGATGAGCGGGAATGAATTGCAACCTAGCCAAAACTGTCAAAGTATCTCTGAAACTTATGTTAGATCAGTAGTTAAGAGACACATTGCTTGTTGTAGCAGGAATATCCCAGAACAAATCTCCCTCTAAAAGGTTCACCAGACTCTGCCTAGGTATATTTTGCTCTGCGTCCCCAAACAAACCGTTGATTCCATCATCGTTGTATCCTGCGTTCGCGTCACCTGCACCAATATTATCTGCCAGGCCTTGGGTCGGTTGATTGGTGGTGTACTCGATATCTAGATCATTTTGACTTGCGTGCATGTGCTGTGCGTTCAACTCCTCAACATAGACCGAGGGATGCCCATTCTCAGGTGCAGGAACGCCCAGAAGATTGACCACAGAGTCTAGGTACGCAGAATGCAGAACCATGCTATCGTTGTGTGACCTTACAGAGCCTGCCATGTACTGTGCTATGCGACAAATAAAGCTGGCTGCTTTCCTCTGGAAACTGGGCCCAAGCATACCGCTGTCTGGCAGGCACAGAAGTAGACAAAGGAAAAGAGCTGCGCTCGGTGCAAGTAGAAGAATCGCATCCGGAGCTCGTCTCAGATCGTCCTGGGGAATGCATAGCAGTGCACGGAGAGTGCCAAATGCGCCCTCAATACCACTCCTTAATCCTGTTAGATTGTAGCAACGATCTCGCCGCAGCGCTGACAGATCAATATCCAGGTGAGGCACTTCATGGCAAGGAACAGGGCGACTAGAAGGCGATAGAGAAACCACGAGAGATTGGCGGAGCATAGCGGAAGCCACGTTGAGTCTCACACTCTGCTCCAACAGCTGCATAGTTGTTTGGAGATGGTGACGTTCTGGAAACAACATGGCATGGTCGACAGACGGAATATCTCCTGATCCTCCTACCCTATCCCAATTCACAAGATGATTCCACTTCGATCGCCACGTACTGATCTCCTCTTCCACCAGATCTTCAAGGCAGGGCAGCATTAACGAGGATGTGTTCTCGACTAATCCCCGGAGCTTGCTCTGGATCCGCCGTAGATCCGCACTACAGCGCGATATTGTGTCTATGAGCAACGTGTCAACGTCGGCGTTATCGCTCAGGAAGAAAGCTTCGTCCCCTTGATGGAAAGACGAGCGACGCATGAAGAACAAACTCTGCTGTTTGTCCTGCCGGTAAAGAGCTAACCATATTCGTCTCCGCCTCGCCATCTCTCTACTACCTGCATCATTACCTCGTAAGTCCATATCCTGGAGGACGCGAAACGCGTACCCGCTGTGTAGGTATGAGACGTCATCATCCCCGTCCTTCCAGCAGGCCAGCAAATAGAGAGCTTGCATTGTCTCTATGGACCTATTTCCCTCGGCAAGCGTCTTAATGACAAGATTTCTCGCTAGGCTGCATAGACGAGTCTGCAAGAAAGGGTCTGTATCGGAGACGATACGACCTTCAACGAAGCCGGCAAACTTGGATGAGCAGAAGAGCACCGTCGCGAATAGTAGCGGACTGTGCCGTCGGACATCGTCATGGGTGTCATGTCTTGGATCCAGGATATACTCCCATTTTGCATTCATGTGGACCAGAAAATACTCATAGAACCCTTTTGAAGCTTGAAGGGTGAGTATACCCCCGTCAATCGGGTCGCTAATGGCGTGGCCTAGAGTCATGGATACTACGTAACTGGGCATTTTGATCGAGCTTGTAGGCGACTGGTTCGCATTATTAGTTGTGGGTATGGTGTCATTTATTGAATTGAGAGGGCGTAGCAGCGATGAGAGAGTCAATGAATGCGGTGTCCGGGGCGATTCACTGCGCTGGTGCTGCACTGGGCTCCCCTCAGCGGTAATGAAACTAAATGGAGCACCCCTATAATTTCTTAATGACGATAAAGTGGCAATGAGTCTTGAGCGGATCGCATCAGTGATTATGGGTCCTGGTTTCTCGGGTAGGCCGTGATCATTGTCGGCCGGCGGAACCTGGGTGAGCGCTTTCGCTGGGCCCAGGCCCGACTGGTTGATTGTGACGGTAGCAGAGTGACTCGTTTCCAATACTCGAGTTCCATCATTTTGGTCGTCTTCGTCTCGATCATTCGTCGTTTCCTCAACGTCAGGTGGCAATGGCGGTTGAGGGTAGGGCTGCGGCCTTGCCCTGGTTCTTTTTGCCTGAGTAAAAACACAGCCTGTATTGTTTGCTAAACATCGGTTACACTGATCCAGTCGCTGGGTGACAAGGCACCGGACCTTTGCCTTTCGGCACTGGAGACAGGCACTGCTACTGTTAGTCCGCGATACAGCCTAATTGTGGGGTGAGGGGCCCAGGAGATTCCTTACACGGATGCTCGGTGCAAATCGGTCGGCGTAGCAGTAGACGGTGCCATCGTGGAGCTGTTTCCTCTTTGCAAACGGTCCGAGAAACGCACAAAGACAGAGGATCTGGAGGAATTCATCGATTTGAGGAGTGCAAGAAGTGGATGACCATGCACAGCAATCCCTTGCTCGGGAAGCCATCCGATCTTGCATGCTCGGTCCGAGCGTTGCGGAGATTATGTGGAACAACAGGACCTATCACGATCGACAATAACTGCGATAGAGATAAACTGCATACTGTGACAAATGCTTTATGAGTGCGAATAATCCTCACTCGCTACTGTATAGCATTCCAGTTTACTGCCTTGCCTTGCTCCTACGTTCTGCTTCCCACTTCACCTATTTTGCATACAACAAAATGCCTGGTCGACTTGAAGGACAGATTGCACTGATTTCTGGCTCCAGCCAGGGTTTCGGGCGCGGAATCCTCGAAACCTTCGTACGCGAGGGGGCTTTTGTTCTCGGACTGGATTTGAAGGCGGTCGACGGTCCTGTCAATGGCTTCCCCGAAGATCGTGCCTATCAAATCTCCGCAAATGTAGCAGAAGAAGAAAGTTGGAAGCGAGCGGTACGCTTTGAGATGATCCCCTAATATCATCCTTGCTCCGGTACCAGACACTCATCCCAATGTAGCTCGCGACCAGTGTCGCCAAGTATGGCAAGGCACCTTCCATCGTCGTTCACAATGCCGGGTGGTCTTACCCAAACAAGTCCGGCATCGAAGTCACTGACGAGGAATTTGAGCGCCTGTTCAACGTCAACGTCCGCAGCATCTATATTGCGTCGAAGATACTCATTCCCGAGATGAGGAAAAACGGCCCGGGATCAACGGTGGTCATTTCCAGCGAGAACGCCATCCGGCCAGGCGCCACGCAGACTTGGTATAACGCGACCAAGGCCGGTGTCTCCTCTGCTACAAAGTCTATGGCCCTCGAGTTTGCCAGGGATCAGCTTCGATTCAACACTATCTGCCCCACCTCGGGAAACACCCCTTTGCTGAATAAATTCGCCGGGATCCCTGACGGTCCTGTTCCTGCAGAGATCATCAAGGCCAAGTGTGAGGCTATCCCAATTGGACGCCTGGTGGAACCGTCAGATGTGGCCAATGTTGCTCTGTTCCTTGCTGAATCTGCGAGCTCCATTATTAGCGGGGTTGAGATCTTGGTTGATGGGGCGCGCTGCGTGTGAGCTATTCATTGTGAACAGCATGTCCTAGTGCGGCTAGCAAACAAACCTCCTTTACTTCACGGCTATCTAGACTATAGCCTTGTCAGTCAGTGATCACTCCAGTATTGAGGCTGTTGACGTATTCTCTATTATCTCTTTGTCTGGACATCATTTTAGATAGTACATTCGGGTGTAAAAACATTCATTTGTAACATGATCTTTGGATTTATCAGTGTGATTGTAAAATCTCTGCAATATACTATATGCCGTATAACGAAAAGTATGAATAATGTTAATAGACACACTAATAATCAATCCTGATGCTTGATCTTTGTCAGAGGACGGTTGGTAGATTTACCTGCTTTATATTAGATATAGCTTATATATATTATTTCTACACCATATAGAACAACGCACGGTTTGTTATATTAGTTATTATCTTCTTCCCTTATTAATTCCAGCTTTGTAGGCCCAACTATATGATGATTATCTATTACTGAATTAGAAATATAACATGTCTCATTGTATTACTATTCTGGAGTAGCTGCCCCGACCATCCTTACTAGGGAGCTATATTATCTACGGCTGCGGAGCGGAAATGCTTGGTATCGCCGCGTAAGGCTGACAACCTTTATCATGAATTTCCGTCCAGGATACCCAGTACGCGAGTTTGGAAGACGCACAAATGCTTCCGACAGTCTTCGAAAGCCTGGGATAGAGTTAAGGTCCGACGGAGATAGGAGTCTTGCGGAGGATAACTTTGGGACTTCCAACAGGAGTATATCGCCCCAGGACAGATATCCGAATGAACTTACACAGTGCAGTTATGTCGATCGTCTCGGAGGACCCGGATATGGCGTATGTAAAGACGGGTTTACTGGCTAAATCTGGGACAGCTTCTCCTCCCATGGTAGAAGCCTGGTGGTGGCGGGCGGAGGTATGGGAGACACCTCCCTCATGCTGTGAACATGTTGAGTAAGCGACTGGCTATGATTGTAACAAAAGAGCATAATCAGGATATAATATAACACCTTCTTTTGCCTTCTGGCTGGCTGTTAACAGAGGCTGTGTTAGTGCAATCGCACAGAGGACGACACCAGCTGTAAACAGGCAGATCCCAATGTACATCACAGCGTGTGTCTTGCGGCATGATTATAAAAGTTCAGCATGCTGATGCAATTTAGAGGTTCTTAATGCGGAATCCAGCAGTTGCTCTCGGGAGGAGTTGTGCGGGGTCGCGCCATTGTTTGAATGGAATCCGCGTTCGTTGCAACCAAATGCAGCGCTGCGGTGGGGAATAATTTAGAGATTATCATAGGTCAATTGGATAGCCAATACCTGTATTTCAGGTATTCGTGATTCGCTCTTAGGGTCATCTTTGTATGTTTCCAGCCGGAGTTTATCAGGTAGCTCGTTTTTCCAGGAGGAGAGTTGAGTATGAATAGCAGTGAGACTCTCCAGCCGATTAGCTTGGAGTCTTAGGCTCAAGAGCGGACCCACGATGTGGTAAAGATTGAACCTCTACTGATAGTATTCTAATAATGGTCCTTGTCGGGTTTCTTCATGGCCATATATTTTGATATCGCTAATAGACGCAACCTCGCAGTTGGAATCATCCACTGTGCATGGCCGTCCAAAGGCCACAGCCGCGTATCTGCTGTCACTACTCCAATTAGTCACGGCACTTTTGACAATGATTTTGGGGATACGTGCTTGTCTGCAACTTCCAATGCCCACCATGAGCGCCGCCGAGTCTCGCGCGGTTTTGAGTCCACCCGTCAGAGTCATTAGACCGGCATTGGGACGGCCATTGAAAAGATGAAAGCTCCCCAATAACACGCATATTTGTACTGTCTCCAGACTTGGCAAATCAATAATGGCCAAGATATATTGTTTGATTTGCATCAGCAGATCCTGCGAAAGCTGTTTTATACTATCTGCATCGGCACCCAGAGCGTCCAGCGAACCGGAGTAGGCGCCGAGGCCAAGTACCAACCGTACAAGCCACAAGAAATTACTGTTCTCCCCTTCCGGAATTATAGTAGAGGCCATCAAGCTTTCGTACCGTTGTCGAAAGGTTTCCTCGTGGAACATCTGTTAGAAGACCATCAACATCACGACAATAGCCCAGAAGATAATGTTTGCTACGATACCATCATAAACCAATCAACAGAGTCAAAGAAAAGAGCCATAAATGTGTCAAGTACCGTCTTCGGCGGTAAAGGCAATCCTACTAAATCCCGCTATGAAATCGAGCGTGTGGCGAGAGAAACAGCGGGATTCATGACCTTGATATTGGCAGTAGAAGGCGCAGGGCTAGTTCTCCTACATCCGATAAGTTATCCTACTTTACTCTTGAGGCTCATCAAGTGTTCGGATTGTTTAAGCAATTAAAGGATGTACGACCCTCCTAGTACATAATGTTGTATCTCCTCTTCCATATTTAAAACTCCCCGGGAAGAAAGCCCGATGAAGTATGTGTAACAAATAATACGCTGACTCTCTCAATATCTGAAGGCCGTGGCTAGAGATAGCTACAAAGGGCGCTTCTTTCCAAAGATCTGAGCTTATGGGTCTTTGAAAAACACATTCTGCCCAGGCGTACTTCGAGAAGCACGTAAGAGACGAATGCCGCAAATATACCTCAAGGTACTGAAAACATGTACAAAGTATGCTCTAAAAATAAATGGAAAAAGAACATATGGATACGCAAGCTTATAGTCACCTTTCATTTACATCCTTCAACTATCAAAGCCCATTTAAAGGATAGTCATCGGGCCACAAAGTATTCTTCCGACTAGCTAAATATGAAATATAAACAAATATGATCAAGAATATAATGTCAAGTATCTATATATATACCTCATTGCTTATTCACCTTTCTCCGTCCTCGACATTTGCGGCTCGCTTCTTTCCGCGCGGAGGGTTATAGCTGTGTATATCACGCAGGTGACATTCTAGGTCCGCCAAGCCTCGAAAATTTTCTTGGCAGGCAGGGTGACGGCAATGAAACCTCCCTGACAATGCTTGGTAGTCGAGGTGGGACTGAACATGCTTATACCAACAATTGCGATCAAAGAACTGACCCATGCGTTTGCATGGACTCAAATTCTCATCTCCTACGCAGAATGGGCAGAGACCCACTTTAACTGGGGCATTGCGAAGAATTATCGGGTCACAGCGAAGTAAATTTTTGCTTGCACCTAGGTGGTCCTCACAGTGCTGGGCCCATTTCCCGTAATCATTATACCATGAGTCACACTCAAAGCAAAGTTCTGCGAAATTGGAAAGGCCCATGGCGGCAAGTCGCTTCGTCCGACATCGGTAAAAATGCAGCCATCGCCGATGTGGGTAGTATCTAAGAGCGTGAGTATTGTTCAGCAACTGAAAGCAGAAACGCTCTTACTTTTCAACTGATTCAGCGCAGATTCATTTCCCATCTGTAGGTGCAAGGCTGGAAATGTAACAAACAGAAACCTCGTGCGAACAGATGGTCTCGAGGGCACGAATTGCTATACGGCCGGCGGAGCTTCGTAGCTCGACGGGATCCGGAAGAATATCGGCTATGAGATCGCGCTCTGGCATTGCTTTTCGAGTGCAGTGGAAACTGTCCGCTCGCCATCTCCGGATTGTAACTCTACCAGACGAGGCTGCTCCCGCCGTAAGCGGCTTAACTCGTCTACATAAAGCCGCCGTCGTTGATTCTCAAGGCGACGCCGGTGCAGCTGAATAGTCTTAGAATCGTCATCTGCTAGAACCTACCTTTTTTCATTGATTGAATCTCGGTATCAAGCTGAACAACATCCTCACGTTCCTGAAATTCAAGCTCTGCCCTTGCTGGGAGGGCTTGATAGAGATGGGGATTACGGCGGACGCCCATACTACGATGGTTCTCGATATGACCACGTCGGCTTCCGATCCCAAGGAAATTTGCTGTTCCATGAGCCTCGACCACGCGGTGAGTGTAAGAGTTTCTAAAGTATCCCGCTTTATGTGCCCAGAGAACTTCATGCGGGCTGTTTCTGAATAGTTCTTATCTAAGATCACAGCGTTATCCGCTTTATTGAAAAATAATCCTTACCAGCTTCCATAAGTGCTGCTCGACGACAAGCTCGGACAGTAATATTGTCTGGGTACCCAGCCCGATGCCCAAGCGCAGCGAACATTTTTCTAAAATCGTCGGCTCCTCTAGCCCTTCCAGTAGAAGTATCGATGGCTTGCTCATCTTGAGGGCGAAATAGAGGTATGTCTAGTATATCAGGCCTGAAATATATAGTGCCAATAGTTTTATGCTCCGCTTCTTGAAGAGTACTGCTCAGCAAGTCCACTTCATCAAGGATTTCATCGACAGATCTGTAGTCACGAAAGGCCCGATCGGCTGACGCCAAAGGTAAAAAAAAGGTAAGAAGGTTAAGGAAAAGTGGTGTCTTTTCAGTATATTTTTCGTAGAATCTGTGGGTCGGGAGTTCCGATAGCTGCATTTTCCAGGATCCCTTGGTATAGTCTCGGTTATAGTCAAGAACAAGCATGAACTCTCCTTCAATCCACTCAATGTAAAGGCGAAAGTGCTATAGTATAATCAGTATTACTGCAGAAATAAAAGAGGGATTTCCATATCTTATAGCATGCGGTTATTACAGCCGCGCTCATATGCTTCGCGAGATCTGTATCTCCATGTTCATGAGCTGAAGTTCGATGAGCTGTAGATTCATGTACTTCTCCTGTTCTAGCTGATGTGAAACAGTATAGGAGTATTGATACACTGAGTTCTACTCTTGTTCTTTCCGGGTATTTCCCACGGTATTCAAAGGAGTTATGGTACCAAAGGTGTTTCTGCACAATTTTGAGGTCGTTGTGGGAGAACCCATTTTTTGATATCTGGATATCAGGTATTTTAAGCATTTATTGAGGTCCTTTTTCATCCACTATAGCGATTAGTATAGAATATCATATATAAAGAATGGGACTGTCCTACCTACTCCCTTAATTGTTGTACTGATATATTCTGGAACAATGTAGCTCTGATGCCGGGCAAATCCAGCGTCTAAATCTTTCTTTATGTTGTCAAGAGTACTTAAAACCGGGACTTTATTTTTACTAAGACGACCTCTGAGATCCCTACCTAAAAATTGAATAAAACCTTTATAGGTACGAATATCGGGTGGAGAGACAGTGCCTGGATGATTTGTGACAAACCTATATGTAGTCAGTAGCAGCTACCGCAGACGAAGCGGGCGCTTTCCTACAAATCGAATAGACGAAGGGCTCTGTCGTAACCCTTTTCAGTACGATCCAGAACGCTTCTTTGGATTTCTGAATTGTCATGATTATTGAGATTGATCTCTGTGAAGCCCTCGGGTAACATCGCCGTTGAAATGTGATGGCTAAAAGAAAGTTAATAGACAGTCGAAGAATACTTAATGTGCGCCCAAGGACAAAATGCAGTAAAGATGAGATTGGGGAGTGACAGATTATATGCCGAGTTTTCTGACGGCGACAAAGTGTGCGAATGCCGAAATGCGCCTTTTTGACCTTCCTTCGGGTGAAGAATATTCAGGTCCCTGAAGGAGGCCCTGAGGGACCGGTACAAGCGGCCAGACGCCCACGAGGAGGCTTGGGTGAGCGCAGTCATACTAATGCTGTTATATGTTTTTTTCGTGCCAATTTCTATATATCTGTACGATATGTACTCTGCAGCCTGGTTGATTAGTGGAGCGTCCGCAGTTGGAAAGTTTAAATCTTTTTTTTATCGCCACAGAGTCCATGGCCATAGTCACGTGATTCGGAACAGCTTTAATCTTCGATCGTCATAAATAGCCACAAGGTTATATGCCCACTTCAGGTGTGCAGACTTGTCTTCATTGGCTGCTGTTCTATGGAGCCCTTCGATACTGTGTGGGATTGATTGTTCAATCTGAACTACTTCAGTTACAACACAATTTGACGGGCTACACCGGCTCCGTGATCCTCGATGCCCCTGGCCAGGCGCTCTCACCGGAAAGTCAGAACCGGCTGTTCAAACTGCAAGAGGCGTAGAATCAAAGTAAGTCCAAAATCGGGGTGATTATCACTCGCGTCTATAGTCCTATTACCTCATGCAAATAAAAATCACTGCATACCGGCTGCTGATCACATGATTAGTGCGATGAGACCAAGCCATCGTGCATCAAGTGCCTCCAGCACAGGATCTCATGCACTTATCATCCGGTGAAGGTATCAGGTCGGAATCGAACAAGCAATGTTGCTGAAAGCTCGCCGGACTGTTCGCAACCTGGTGACCATGAGGCTGATACTGCCGCTTCGCTTTCTCGATCCAAATGCCTTATCAAGAAACCTCATTGGTCAAACGGCAGCGGTGTCAATACTATTGAGATCATCCACCACTACACATACTCAACATACAAGACACTTGCTGTAAAAGACGAGGTACAACGTCTGTGGCAAGTGATCATTCCCGAGATAGCTTTCCATAATGGTTTCCTGCTCCGGGTGATCTGCGCCATTTCTGCCCTACACATGTGGCGCGAGAAGCTCCGTGAAACACGTTACTTGACTTATGCCCATGAACAGTATGCTGCAGCTGTTGAAGAATCAGCTACAGCTCTGACGCGGATCTCCAAATCCAACTGCTCTGCGCTGTATGCCTTTTCTGCGCTTGCTTTTATTTTCGAGCTAGGCACATCTTACAACCGTCCCAGTGTTCTGTACAATCAGGACGGCACTCTGGCGCACTGGATAGTCCATATTCGCGGTGTCCGGGCAATTATTGCATGCTTTTGGCATGATCTGTCTTCGGGAGCACTGCGGCTCCTCCTCCAGCGGCAAGATCACGTTGACGGACCTCGCGGTCTCGCGGCCAGCCTGAACGCCCTAGCCGACCAAATACGGCGGAGCACAGTAACCATGAACAGTGTCCATACCCTACTACAAGCGGTGAGTAAGTTACTCAGCTGGTCTAAAATGGGTGAATCGGCGTTCTTCGGTTGGCTGTCACATTGTGACAACGAATTTGCGACTTTATTGGGTGGCCGGGATCCATTTGCTCTTGTTATCTTCGCCCATGCATGCGTCCTGCTGAAGTCAAGTCAGCCAGCATATTGGATTGGGACATGGCCGGAGAAGATGATACAGGAAATATATGGTTCGCTGGACTCATCTTGGCGAAGCTGTTTACATTGGCCAATGGATGGATTGGGACTGTGCACGGATGGGCAGGACTGAAACGCGACTCTCTCTCAAATACTTCTCTCTTATGTCAGACCACAGATATATGGAACTGTACTGGGTAGATATATCTGGACCATGTCTCATTGTATGATATCATTTCAAGATTCTTTAAATCATTGTGGGTATACAAATCAGCAACATCCGATTTCTCAGAATCTGCACAGCATTATTGCTCGTAGACTGGAACTTAGACTTTCCAAGAATGTATTAACTGTAGGCTGAAGAAACAAATTCTAATATCTATCTCCTTCGCCATGGCTGTAATTTCCAATCCTTGAGTACTACTATCCTTCCATCTCCAACCCACCATACTTCCCGTCCCCAAGAAGCAGTCCAGGGTGATAAAAATGAAAAACAACCTGTACCACGAACATCAACAATGTGTCGAACAAATACATGAAAACCTCATGACTTATCAAATAGCCATCATTTCCCTGACAAAACTCCACAACGCGATATAGACACCGAACGATGATGAGCCCCGAGACCCCAAATAAAACGTAAAGCAACGCACCATACGGAACGTCTTGCATGCGGACATTCTTCTGTTGTTGCATTCGACGACAAAACACCACCGAGATAGTGAAGAACCCGCCGAAAAAGAACAGCTGTACGAACAGACCAAAAATCGTAAGCTTCTGACCCGCACTAGCCATGCTTTCCATAGCCATCATACCGCCACCACTGGCCTGTGTCAGGAAAGCAATTACATCGCCTATAACGAATATTTTGGTGACCTTTTGCGGCGCGATAGGGGAGAGGGAGGCAGAGCGGGCGAACATGACAATGCGGCCGTAGATCATGTAGATGGTGGCTGCGTAGAGGGATGGAGGAAGGAGAATGCACACGTTCTGGCCTATGTATGGGCCTAGGGCACTCGTATCCTTGGTAGATATCGCGCGGAAGAGGTAGCCGATTGTCATCACTGTATAAGAGGTAAGTTCCTTCCTGTGGAGCTTTATGGAAATTGGGACCAAGACGGGAGTCGACTCACTTATGGCTCCGGCAATGAATGTTGTGAAAAACCAGCATCGCAGTTTGAAGAGCTGGAAACAGTGGAATCCTGTACTGGCCCCGTAGCAGAGAAGCGCGACAATGGCTGCCGCGAGGCTCGGGTTGTAGTTGTAGAAACTGTAATCACCCATGGCGAAGAGCGGGTTCCTAGATGACTAGTGACATGCTAACATGTCCAGTGTCCGGCCATACTGCGTGGGCGATACTTATATTAATGATTTTTGATGGACGCTGGAAATAATCGCCATCAACCCCCATCCGACCAGAATCGTGGTCTTAGATTTCTCTAGCTTTTTTTTCCTACTGTCGGAGATATCATTTCTAATTCAGGATAGATTTCACACGCTAGTACTATCCAGCCAATCATAATGTAGCCGTACTCGTACATTGATGGTGCGAGATGCAGATCACCGGGTCTTGGTAACAACCACGTTTTACCGGCAATTTTGAATATTGCTTCCGCAACTGAACTGAAACTTTCCAACCAGGGTTTAGAGATGAATAGGAAGTCGGGGTTCGGGGGTCAGGAGGATTGAGTTGCCCAGAAATTCGAATTGAACCAATTGCATTGTCTACGTACTCGTACTTGTGCGGGTGGTGGGTCAATGGTGGGTCAAAACACCTAAGAGCATCGCCATAGCCACAACTTGTGCAAATGTGTGAGAACAGAGTGTATGTGGACCCTGGGATCACAGCTCGGCGTGGTCTGAAATACTCATGATCAACCCCTTTCCATCTTATTAACCACGATGAGATCCCCCTTTTATTTATTTTCTATTTATTTTCTATTTATTTTCTATTTATTTTCTATTTATTTTCTATTTATTTTCTATTTATTTTCTATTTATTTTCTATTTAT